TACTAATTATTTTTCAATTTAATTAGTTAATAACTTCAAATTTTGATTTTCTCCAAATTTGGTAACTTTTCCTCTTTGAGTTGGATTGGGGATTTTGGAGCTAAGACTCATGCAATCCAGCTTCTAAGATATGGGTTGAGGTTGTTAATGAAAGATTTGAGCTTAAATAGTTGGATTGCTAAGATTTTGTTAATTATGGAAATTTTGGCATTTTTCGAAAGCCAAGACTTGATTAACAATTAAACATGTTAATGTGTTCTAAGCAGGAAATGAAGCAATTGGACACGTTGGTGAGCTAGAGGATGATTGGAGCCTAAAGTTGAGCTCAACGGTGGGATTGCTTCTAATTTGATATTTTGAGTGGGTTTAAATAAAATTAATGGAATGCGTGACACATGATAGATGCACTGCCATGGTTTCAGAATGAAATATGTATGTCTAGACGAATGAACCTAGGTTAGAGAACAATATAAGTGTATATGCATATATGTGAATTGTGTGTGATTGTGTGCTGTGATGTGTGCCACATGGGTGGCCTATGCTGCATGTGTCCAACCAAAAATGTCTAGAGGCTATGACAAACCATTAGGAGTAGATTACCCTAGGAGAATGGTATGTGGAGACGGTTCGATTAAATGGTTCCTTGGAGATTTAAAGACACTTAGAATCAAACAAAGCTTAAAGACTATTAAAGCTGAATAAATGTGAATTGAGTTTCGATAAGGAAAATGTGAATGATAAAGGCATGAAAGCCTTATTTGTGGATTTGTGCTTCTGTTCGAGGGATAAATTATGGACATTGATTTGATTTGTGGATGAGTGAAGTCCCATCCCCTATGATTATGTATGTGCCTGCAAGGATGGTGGCATTAATTCCACTTGTGATTCTCGCCTATTATGTTTTGATGTGACCGTTAGGAGATTGCTTAGGGTGATGTCGACCATCTGGAGATTACTCTAGTCGATGACTTTGATTCTCTGCTAGCTGTTTTGGCACTGTGCATGATTTGTTCTTCGCCCGTTGCTTCAGATGTGAGTGATTTGTTTTTCCACTAGTGGCTTTACCTTAAGCATGACTTGATTCTCTACTGATTGGCCACTGGCATGATTTGACTACATTCAGGGGAAGACCACTTGTTGATTTGATTTGTATCTGATATGAGATAGCCATGGGAAGGCTTAGATAAATATAAGATTAACTTGATGTGATGCTTCAGCAACTAGAATGTGCTGAGGAGAATGAGTTAAATAATTTTGATTAGCTTTGAAAGTAAGCCTAATGATGTGTGATAATCTTTGGAGACATTGAGGATGGAGATATGCCCTCACATTGGGGACTTTATGAATAGCGGTATGCCCTGTGTTGGAGATGTTAGCTAGAACATTTAGGTGCACGAACAGTGCATATATTTTATATATGTGTTTAATATATATAATTTAGTTTATCTGCACCACTCATTGAGTATATAGTACTCACCCATTTGTGTAACATGTGCAAATAAATAGGCCACAAGGCTGTGCGGTAAAGGTCAATCAGTGACAAATAGATTTTGGGCATCCGAGAGGTTTGCACCCACTATATCACTTCGCTATGTCAGTCATGAGCTTCTACTCCGCACTTAGTTTGATGTGCATGTAGGCATATTGTGCCATATAAATTTATGTGTAAGGGTAGTTATGTAAAAACTTGCCTGAATGGCCAATGTGTAAACTAAGTGCCTGGGATAATGTACTTATATTTGAATTTATTATAAATATTTGATTATCTAATCCATTGGCTTTATGTTATATGATTTTGGATTTTGAGGCTTGCCCGAGTCTAGTGGGCTTGCTTACTAGGCTCGTGCATCAGTCACGAACCCATAGGTTAGGTCATGATAGCATCAATAGAAAATCATGTCAAGAACATAAATTGTGAAAAAAATGAAGAACTTCTCGATCCACATTCACAATACTCACACACAAGAGCATTTATAGTCAACCATAATTATTATCTTAACTAATATCTCATATCCACACTAGCTCGAGAGCTGAAGTAATCAAGGGAATCATCCAAAACATTGAAAGGGCTTATCTCCTCTTGTTGAAAACTACTACATAGTAAGATATTTACTTATACATAATAGTTTTGAAAGCCATTTCAAAATATTTTCTCATCCACAAACACATTTTTTCCTTTGACAAGTATTTATGGAAACCATACTCATCAATAATCCATCAAATCATTCAAACATGCTTTCAACTTTACATACTCAAATACTTTTTAAAGTGGTGTACCCACTCACCTCAAAAGTCAACATTTAATCAAGCACAAAATCTACTTCAACGATTCCTTTGGAGTTTAAATCATTCCCAAACATTCAATAATTCTTATCATCAATAATCAGTCTAAGAATCGAATACTAAGCATTCTAAGCTCTTTCAAATCTATTCGTATTCTTCGAAAACTAATTTCCTAGTCTTAGGTTCATTGCTTTACATATATCTATCTAGAGGAAATTCTTAAAGCCATTGTTCTTACCTTACGTGAGCTTCAATGCTTAGGAAAATTTCAAAACCCTTGAGCTTGAGTCTTCAACAGAAAATCTAGGCATAAAAAAACACATTAATTCTAATAATTTCCAAATTTAAGGATTCCATGGTTGAAACATCATCTTGTTCATAAAAACCTAAAATCAAGTTTAAACCATTCAAAAATGGTGATTTGGAGCAAAAATTGGTTGAAAGTGCTTAAAAATGAAGACTTACCTTGCAAAAGGTGGCTGAGGGTTGCCAACCCTCAAAAAATAAGGTATATTTATAAGTTAGGGTGTGAAAAATACATTCTTACCCTTTTTACTTCGTTGAAAATGATCTCATTTATTGATAAATATGGCTATCTAACGATAAATGAGCTTCAAGTTTCTTTTAAAAAGTCCTCAAGTTGCTATACATCGATAGATGCTGCACATCTATTGATAGATGATGAATATCTATCGATAGATATTCATCAAAATCATTTTTGGGTTCAAACAAAGAACATCTATTGATAGATAAAGAACATTTATCGACAAATAGACTTTAGTAAGCAAAAATAGACTTGAAAACTTGTCCATTTAGACTCTTTTCCATCTCAAACTTTGTAAATCATCTCTAAACATTAAAACATGAATTTTTAGAGCTTAAAAACTTAGTTTCAAATGCTCAAAGCATGTTAATTACTTTGTCATCCAAGGATTTTTTATTAAACATTATACATCAAGGGTGGGATTTCACATCCCACTCAAAGTTACAAACATTACCAAAGCCACTTTATTTGCCATCAGCTCTTCATAATTAGACCCACACTGTTCCACTAAACCTAAAAAAATAGCCATCATATTCACCCGTCATCTCTTTCACCTTATGGTGCATAAATTCATTATTGTGCATTCTAAGTTCTTGTCTTTCCACACTCCCATTAAACATGTAATTTTCAGCTAATTTAGTGTCTCTTCTCAAAACTACTTCCTTCATATAGCACTAGCAGCCCCTCTAACTTCCCATTTGATGATGCAACCTCCCACTCTACTTTATTTCTAATTACGTACTATTGCTTTAATTTTTGCAAACTTTTTTACTTACTCGTTCTTCTTTTTAACTTTAATTTTCCTCCAAAGAATATGCAAGAAGTCTTTTGTGCTATTATCTTCATAAAGCTGTGAGCTTCATTTACGATTTGTAATAAACATTCAAAAATTAGGTGTTATTGTTCTAATATTTACAGAATTTTACTGTAATTTAGAGTTTATATTATATTGTTATATTGCTTTATTTTATGTGATAGTTAATTTATTTGAATTAGAAATTTTGATTGTTGATTTTATATTAACTATTTAAAAATAGAAAATAATTATAATAACTAAATATTTTTTATAGTTCCTTATAAATATTTGAATATGTGAAATTGAAAATATGAATTTGATTATTTAAAGCTTAAATTTTTTTTTCTTAATTTCAATAAAAAGTTCTCATTTGAATATTTTACTTTAGGTCTTTGATGTTATTGAGCCGCCCCTGACATATTCATGCATTAATTTGAACATTTTTTGCATACATGCGTAATAGTGAAAGGCCTTTAAAACTTGCAACCACAGTTTTTCTCCAACGAAATTTCAATAATCAAAACACGTGCAAAAGATTGGTCAAAAGATTTTCTGCTAATGGATTTTGGACTTAAATTTGTCAAAGTTAAGAAAATGATATTTAGAACCACACTGTTGTAGACATTGGAAGACACTTCAACATTTTTTACCTTTGGCTGCAAAAAACAAATTACAGTCACATGTGAAAAATATGCAGCCTTAGGTTAAAGCTATGCATTTTCTAAGTGCAGCCTTAGCCAATGTATGGAAAAATATGGCTGCACTTGTTTATGGGATTCAACAGCATAATTAAAGTGAAGCTGTATGACATATGACTGCAATCTTAAATCATATGGTAACATTTAAAATGTGCAGCTAAAAGGTATAAATAGAGACACATATAACCTTTTAATATGTGATAGAAACACATGCTCACAAATCATAAAGTCCATCTAAAATCAAATTATAGAACTAATGCCTTAAAAAGCATTTTCAAATGTCTTCACAATGTGTACAGTATGGGGTTTTCTCAACCAATTTTAGTAATCTCTCTCTTTCTCTCTTCTTCTCCCTAATTCCTCTCTATACATATTTATTTGTCCATTCTCCAACCTAACAAAACCAGCTGATATTGCAGTTCCCAGCCTTCCTTACCTGTAAAGATTAAGTTGCAAGATAATATTCATTTGGAAGTAGTTCATAATATAATATGAGACAAAGCAAGATAATATCCAATTAACCGTAAATAATAGCAATATGTTTTCTTAAAAGCATAATTATATTAATCCATCACCAATGGATGCCATGGCCAGTCTTTTGTCTTATTAACCCAAGACTTTAATGGCATAAAAATTGGTGTGGTAAGAAAGCTGTACAATTACAATAAATCTCTATGAAATGGCTAAGTTCAGCAAGGATAAGAAAAAATGGAATACTGAAAACAGCAAGAGCCAAAAGCAAGGTAATAAAGAAATGTTTCTATCACAAAAGTATATTCAGAGCCAAACCAACAAACCTTATGACCTTGCTGCGTTTCACTAATAGAAACTGCTACCAAAAGGTTAAAAAAGAGACCCCTAAGATCAGGAGTCATCAAACATAAGGACACTTCCAACAGAGAATAATACATCAAAAAACCATGATAGGGATCCAAGAAGCTTCCTTCACCTTTCTACAACCAAAAAGAGCCAAGTGTCCTTTTGACATTGAAAGAATAAAAACCAACATAAGCATCGAAAGGACTTTTCTCTCTATTTGCACTCCTCGATCAAGGGACCCAACTGACAAGTTTTGTTTTTCTTTTCTTAATACTTTTCTTCATTTTCATTTGTATTCTTTTGACTTATTGGGCAATCTTGTATATAAATGCGAGGAGCAATTGAACACTAAGCCTCACACAAATCTGTGTTGGTTAAGGAGAAGCAAAGGCAGCAAATTAATCCTTGAACTCCGTTTCCAACACTAGCATACCCCATCAAGGGAAAATGGCTTCACAAGTTTCTCAAGTTCTTGCTTCAACCCAAAATGCCATATCCTCTAATATAGAAAATCAGCCAATGGCCGATTTTCATTCCATCATTTGGGGAGATGTTTTCCTCAATTGTCCTCATGAGGTATATTTAAAGCTTAATATATATATATTCTTTTAGATGAGAGCACTTTGCTTCAAATGTGAAATTTTTGAGGTCTAATATGTGATATAATTTATTATGTTCATAGCATTTTAAGATTTATTTTTATTTCCTAGACTGCATTGATTTTTTGTGAATAGTTTTATGGTTTTTAAAACTATTTTTGCATGTATAGTTTGTTATTTTCTATGAAGTTGAGGAAACTATAAGACCAAAGGAAGAAATTTGAGATGCTAACATAGTTTCTTATTTAGGGAGGAGAGATTTCATTTTATTTAATCCTTTATTTTTTAAAACCAAATTTTCATCATTTAATACATTTAATTTACCAAGAATGCTTTTAGGTGATTGAGCAGACGCATTCAACAAGTTCAAAGATGACAATGGAAATTTCATGTCATCCTTGGCAAGTGATGTGCGAGGATTGCTAGAACTTTACGAAGCTTCCTATTTGTGGGTGCATGGGGAAGATATACTAGATGAAGCAATTTCTTTCACCACCACTAACCTGGCTTTTGCAGCATCAACTTTAGACTATCCTTTATCAGAACAAGTTGCTCACACCTTAAAGCAGTCAATCCATAAAGGCTTGCCAAGGGTAGAAGCTAGGCGATATATTTCCCTATGCCAAGACAAGGATTCGCATAATAAAGCATTGTTGGAGTTTGCAAAGATAGATTTCAACTTGTTACAACTTTTGCATAGGAAAGAGCTAAGGGAGATCTACAAGCATGTGTAAGAGCCCCAAACAAACTATATTTCCTTGCTCATTGAATCTTTTCACTGACAAATTAAATCCTCAAGCTTAATTGTGCTAACAGGGTATGATGTTTTAGGTGGTGTAAAGATTTAGACTTTTTAAGAAAGCTACCATTTGCATGAGATAGAGTGGTGGAATGTTATTTTTGGATCTTGGTGCTGGGATTTGACCTCATGCTCAAACATGAAAAATAATCAATAAATTAAAATATAACGTAGCAAAAAAATAAATTAGCATTTAATCAGAGAAACAGTCGAATCCTACAGGATCAATGTTTGTGTTTTTCATCTAACTTTCAAACTAATTATAAACACTCATAAGTTTAAGCGTTACATACCTTGCTCTAATATTGTAATCAAGAGCCAGTTAAATATAAAATCTTTTCTTCTTCACCTTTAGGATTTGTCAAATTTTTAGTCACTCAAGTGTTTGGCCTTTAATAGTAATCCACATAGTGACTAAATAAGATATTCTCTACGGTAGGATTTTACTTAAGCTAGCATGCTTGTTTCTCAAACAAAAGGACCAAAATTCTTGCCGAATCTTATTTTTGTTAGACAAAGAAAACTATTTTTCTTT